TTATTATTTAAAGATGGCTCTTAATAAAGAAGGGCTATAGGTGTGAGCTCAGAATCTAGACCTAATTTTACTCGAGAAAATTGCATTAATTTAAAATATAGTACACTGTTTTTTTACAGATATGCTACATGCTAGTTTTTTCTTTGCCTTTAAATTCCAGAGGAAAGTGGAAATAAAGCTTAGATAAGCCAACCAAATTTGTTTGCTCAAGAAGATTGATTTATAAAAATAGTTTAATAAAAGTGACATATGCAAGTTTCAGGCCCTGCTTTGGTTTGCATGCTTTAAAATTGAGACTCATGTTTGAAGAATCTGTTGACATTATGATAATTTTATGGAAAAGCATCAGGATCTTTGTTTTCTTCAAAAAAAGCCACAAGAAATGAGCTGTTCTGCCTCAATAATCATTTCAAAGGTGTTGATCTGGTCTAATGAACCAAAACTGGACCAATATATAAAATTATAATGTGTGGGATGAACACCTGATCCTCATTATGCAATGTGGTATATTCATAAAATCAAAATCTAAATGACATTTATTTTCGTGAAAGTTTATGTTCCCACCTTCTCCGTCCAGCTGAATCAAGACAGAGGAAGTATTTTGTAAATAAAAGTTGTTAAAAATGTTCTTCTAGAAACTTATATAGACACAAGGTTTATGCTTGCTATTGAAACATTATAAACATATACAGTTAAGTTTCAATTTAAGCCATTTGAATAAATACAGATAGGAAGAATGGTTAAAGTACAGACTTTAAATGTTAAACACAAGTATGATAGTTTTTGAAAACATTTTTATTTGAAAAGATAAACCTATTTTTTAACAAATCAATGCATTTTTGTACAACAGCTCTCTGGCTAAGTGAAATTATTCTGATGCAAGAGGTTATTTATTTTTCGTTTCTACTGTTTTAGTTGCTATACTATATTTAATTTTTTTCTCAATTGGTATATTTGAGTCAGTTTGTATTTTTTTATGTCAATGGCTGTATTGTTTGTTCAGGTCAATATTTACTGTAGAAAACAAAACAAAAAAAAACGTAAACACATTCTGGATTCTGGTAGCTTTATTTTATCTTTCAATTAAAAAGGTTATGATTTTAAGTGTGCACGACAAATATGAGATACACAAAAAATTTATTTTACAGTGTAATTTGTGATTTTGTTTCAATAACATTTTTTAAATGAGAAAATGTAAATAAAAAAAATGTTGACTGTATTTCATAATATTTCATGGTTTGTTGTGTCACTAGTAGGTTTCTTTTGTACTTTGGAGAGAGAATAGACGGCAGAGAGTCTGAGGGTCAGGACTCCCACAGAGCCTCTGTAAAACATTTGCCACATGTGAATAGGTCGAGGCTAAAGTGTTAAAGCCTTCTTTTCACAGATCCACGCCCTGGTTTCATTACAGCTCACTGATTTCCATCCTTTGTTAGTGAGAGTAGTCACACAATGACCATCTTCTGCAGGGTGCTGCTTTATCCAGGTTCTAAGGGAAAAAAAACAGCGTTTAGATCAAGGTTAATAGATTTGCTTTTTACAAAGTGTGTCAAATAATGTATTTCTCACCGATCGATTAGATCACTTCCATCGATCCATCTCCATTTTCCATTTACAGCTCTGAGGCCGATCCAGTATCCTGTGATGCCTTTTATGGCTGGACTGATTGTTTCTAAATATTCCTGAGGAAAAAAAAACAGACACAGTTTAATTTTATCATTACCTTCTGTCTCTATGAAAATAATGTTTTAATGACATTGATAATATATTAATTAAGCAATCAGAATTATTGGAGAAAAGAGTTTTCATTTGGTGTGCTTTTTAAATCCATTAAATTTGTTCTACGGTTCTGCTTACCTTTTCTTTTTCATTTGCGACGACTAGCAGATCTGATATCTTTGTTCTACAATCTTCCCGTGCACCTTCCCAGTTTCTCCAATTAGATGATTTATGGTCGTTATATGCGTAACAGCTGGAAAAATTGGGTTTCCAGCCCTTCTGGCAAGAATTGCATTTTCTATCTGAAACAAGAGTGTTCCAGAAATAAATATAAACCCATTATGTTGCTGTTAGGTATATTTGCACATTCTTATCTAGTTCACAAAAACCACTGAGTTATGATCAGAACATACTTGTACCACCAGCTTCTCTAGGACAATAGGCTTCAACGCTCCACTGAGCTCGACTGACATTGAGCTCATTCCCAGTTTTCTCCATGTGTTCAATTATATCTGAGAGGTTTTTCCTGTCTTTCTTCAGCTCTTCGTTTAGCAACGTCAGGTTGTGGTTTTCCGCAGCCAGTGTGGTGATTGTGTTTTTTAAAGCAGCAGAAGCGGTAGTCAGATTTGTATAATCTGAACTTAATTTGTTGTTGAGGTTGGTCAGGTTGTGAAT